GGGAGTTCCGAAAACATGGGACCCTAATATAGTACCCTAAATACTAGGATCCTTATTCTAAGGACCCCTACATAAGGTACCCCTAATTTTCGGAAACTCCCAAAGGGAGGCGAGTCTGCTGCACATGAACATATGCTTTGCAGTCCTGGCGTCAGCTTGTACAGCGAATGCATGACGAGACGTTTGGCACGTGTCTTTGTGTACTCATTAAGAAGCCAGGACCCTCGACCACCCGCTCTGCGGTGAAAACGCATTCTTATGTTCTGCACGTTCTACACATCCACTCTGCCCCTTGAAGCGTCCACAGAAAGCAATCCGTGCCTCACGATGGTACCAACTACCACGCTAGAACAAGATTGACATTGACACACGCGCCCACACCCGAAAGCATTCAAAGCCACGTAAACGGGAGTTCAGCTTTCACCGACTCTCTCGAACTCGGCAAATCTTGTAAATCTCAGCAGCGGGAATGCTGTCGTAGAGGTCACGCCTTGCGCCGGTCTTCGGTTCGGAGAATGGATGTCAGCAGAATGCTATTTTGCTAGAGTATATAGTTGACTCTCCCACGCATTCATGGTAAGTGACCGTCACGTGTACAACCTGCAAGGATAAACAAGTAGATGGTGTTGCGCATTGCGCCACGCTGCCGTAGGTCTTGGCATTCTACCAAACCCCAACCCCCAAAGCCTGAATCCTAAAGCCTGGAGCCCGAAACCTTAAAGCCAAAACAAGCCCAGGCGCTTGAGACTGAAGGACAGAAATCGGGATGTGACGGATCGGACCTGAAGAGCTGAATTTAGGTCGGTCTCACGGCATCGGATTTGCGATGGCAAATTGAAGCATGCTTCTTTGGTGCTACTAGATGGTTACCATGGTTCTTACTATAAGGTTACTATACGGATGGTGATCTAACGTTACTACAAGGTTATGTCAGGGTACTATAGTGGCGAGGCTCGGCGAACTCTGAGATTGACTCAGGATTCCCGATGTTTTATACGAGGATTCTAGTAGATGGACACGAACTTGCTACTTCACACTCTCCTTGGGTCCTTGAGTATGTGGGAGTTTCCGACAATTACAGTGCTCTAAATAGTAGGATCCTAACTATAAGGACCCCAAAAAGAAGGTACCCCTAATTTTCGGCAGCTCCCATGTAAGAATTTTGGGCTTTCCGGGCAAGGTGTCTGCGAGCTTCCAGAGGAGATGTAACGTCGTGAGATGTCTGCAGCTCCCTCATCTGCGGAGGACATCATAATGTAGGCGCCTTAATAATTAGGATAGGGTTTTGGAGTCCATTATACTATACTATACTCATAAATAGGGAGCCCCCGAAATAGTATTGGTAATTGTATAGGCCCCTATAAAGTAATGCAAGGTGTTGTTGTGCTGTTTATTGAGATGCGAGATGCTGACTACATGATGTGGATTCGCCCCGCTCTTAGATTCAATGTCAGAGCTCCCCATGCAATAACGAATCACTTTGACAATCCTCCCACAAACAGATTCGTCGAAGAGACAGGATGAAGGCTGCATCTGTCTCCATGCCTGCGTGGGGCACCTCGAGGGACAGGGCTCTATTACAGGTAAGGCTTTAGGGTTTACAGTTTACAGTGTTTAGGGTTAAGTTGACTATTTTGGGGACCGGCAGCGCTTACGCTTCTGTGTAACCCTCTGATCTCGAAACCTGAGTCCTAAACCGTAAGTACCGAACCTCCACCTGAAGATTACGACTGGTTCTGAGTGGGAGTGACACGCAAGGTAGTCAGATCCGAAGAACCAGGACGGTAGTATCTCATCCAAGCAAACCATGCAGCAAAGTGTCCAGCAACGAAAACCTGAAACCCTGCAGCGTAAGCCCCAGCTAGACGGTGCATCCTCAAAAAGTGCTTTGCTGAGCTGCTGAACCTTGGAGAAGTACACAACAATTTCTTCTGACGTCATCTTTGTTTGGGCTTTACAACTTTTCGAATCGGGGTAGTCTCCCTTCATGAATGAGAGGCGGGGCATTGATCAAGCGTCAACACCGTGTCGGTTGCTCAAGTTGGGTCAGATAAAACTGACCACATGATCTTTACATAGCCCAAGCTGATGCTCTCAACAATGGAAATGTTATTGAAGCGCAGGAACCCAGGGGCCCGAAAAATAAGACTAGGGATGTGGGGCTTGCTACAAGAAAAAACTGGAACACACCGGAAATGCATTTTCAGAAGATGCTGTCCTGAGCTGGACAAAACTCCAAAACGAGCAAACGCTAAAAGCTGCATGTGCTACACAATCCGAAGCTCTGTCAAGGTAGTCTGCGCCCAGAACCCAAAACCCTCAGTTGAAGGGCTATGTGAAATCTTAGAATACACAGCCTGTTTACAACACAAGCTTACATGTGAAACCCTGAAATCCTCAATCCTAAGCCCTTAAAAAAACCTTGAAATCTGAAACCCTTATAGTAACAGGTTATATATTGAAGGAACCCGATTCTTGATTATTAAGGCCCCTATTTTTCATCCCTGATACCCTGACCCGATTGCATGAAACACTCACCTCTTTCACTGGCCAAGGCGCCTGGCACTGCCGCGGCGCGCCATTTGCAACGCGCCTTTATGGGGTCGCTGAGGGTTTTGGGTTTATAGGGTGTGTTTTTCTTGTTTAAATTTAGGGTTCAGGGGGTTTGGGGGTTTGGGGTTTAGGGTTTGGGGCTTAGGGTGTGGGACTTGCGTGATTAGTTAGTTACTCGGCTGGTTACTAAATAGTTTGCCAGTCAGTCAACAGGCTGGCGTTCATAGCAAATTCAGGCCTTCCGGTTTCGGTGGTAGGAATTTCGGTTGTGTGCTTAGGGCTTCAGGTGACTAGCAGTCGGGGTTTGAGGTTCAGGGTTTGTTCGGGTTATGGGTCTTTATTTCGGTGTCTCAAAGGCCTCGAAGTTTACCTATGGAACAGCTTTGCGAAATTGGCATTGATTCCCGTTGATTGCTTAGCCCAAGTGCTACGACCCATCAGCCGGCCAGCTGCTCCTAGCACCCTCGTCTATGAACCTTTACAACTCTTGGAAAACGCTTCCAGTAGATTCCAACCCAATCGAAAGCCGAAGCATCGTTTCTCAAACCCCAAACAAACCGTCTTCAACAGCACACTTTGACACCTAATAAGCCCTAAACTCTACAAGCCCTATAAACCCTAAGCCTGACAACACCGCAGAACTGCCAAATCGGCAGGGCCTGGGCCCCCAAGTGGACATCCTCTCTGCCTCTCTATTCCCGTAGCAGGAATGCACCGCATGTTTTTCAAGGTCCCTGCAAAGTCACCAAAAGAAACAGTAACACACAAAGTGAACAAACACAAACTCAATATCTGCAAGAGTTATGGACCCTAACGCATTTATAGTATAGCGTACTGCCCAAGCCTAAGACTGTTTGCTAAGGCCCGTCTAAGATTGCATAGGCCCCTTATGGATACCTGTAGACCCTGTGTGCGCATGAAAGAAACTCCAAAAACTAGCCGAGGCGCAAATCGAGCAGCTCGGAGTTCTCGCAACAGACCTTACTCAGGGTTCAGGTGCGCCTCCAAACTCCACCAACTTCAACGCACAAGCTGGCCTTCATGAAGCAAAAGCGCTTGGGGAGGTAGGTTGTAGTTGTACTAGTGTGTACCAGTTTGTATCGTGACTAAACAGGGGAGATAGCTGCTCTGACTCTTTATTTTTATGCAACCCCTCCCTACACCCAAGCCCGAAAAACCAGAAACCCTAAACCCCGAAACCCTCAATCCTCAACCCTAACCCCGCCCCCCCCCCCTCGTCTTCTCCAAGGCACCTGGTAGGTCCTGCAGGCCAGTGACCTCGGTGTTTGTCGTTGGGAAGTCCAATATCCCTTAATTACGGAATATACCTCAAATTATAGCCCTACTATAATTTAAGGTATATTCCTTAATTCGGGGATATTGGAGTCTCTTGGTTTATAGTTGCGATTTCTTGTTTGACTGTCCGGGGTCTCACGGTGTTGAGCTTTCGGCTGCAAGAGTTCGAAGGTCTGTGAGTGCAGGATTTAGCATTTCGGGAGCATTCGAAAGACTGTCAATGTTTCTTGTGTCACTTCAAAGAAAAGCAAAGGCAAACACAAGGACGGAAACCAATGGCAAGTGCAGAACTTATAATGAGGGGCCCTAAGGTGCAAGGGATAGTGTTGTTAATTACAAGGGCTTCTATATATCGTGGCGACTTTTTCTCAGCAGCGACGAGGGCCACACGAGCCACTGCTGGGCCACCCAGCGGGCTCAGCTGGAGCGAATCAGAGACTCCGAAACCCATTAACTTTGGAATAACGGAACAACTATTAAGGGCGTTGGAGACTTGTAGAAGCATTTCTTGAAGATTTTCTAGCTCTAGAGGGTTGCTTGAATCATTGAAGGCAAATTAGACTGAATTTGAGGGTTTGGTTGTGGAGTTCCTGGAGACGTGGTGAGTTCATGTCTCGTGGAGGCTCTGCAAGTTTGGGGGTTTGGAGGTTTAAGCAGTATGGTTTAGGGATAAGGGTTTAGGGTGAGGGTTTAGCTGAGGGCTTTAGCAGCTTTACGGCCTTAGAATTACGGGCTCTACTTCTTAGGGAGAGGACTGAGCTCCCTAGCCCGAAATAAGTGTTGGGGCTCACGCTTGAGGGTCTAGTATAGGGTCTTCACGATGCCCCGAGAAACTTGTACTGGGAGCATAGGGGAATACAGTTGTAAATGAAACCGACCTCTATATCAGGCTCTTCGAGGTGTAAGGCGAAATTAAAGGATGATGTATGACCATACCGATGAAACAAAAGCCACTTACAACATCTACTGGGTGGAGCCTCTAGTAAACGTTACCCTGAGAGGAAACCCAATAGAATTGCCTGGACGCTAGGCTTAAGGGTTTGGGGTTTGACACGAGCGCTTCACTAGAAGGTCTAACTTAGAAGAGCCGAACCTGTCGACTGCACTGACGGAATGCCAGTCGCCATGAGCAGCTCCACGAGACATAGACATCACACCAAAAAATTCTGCAGGCGCCGCATTTGCGGGCCTGCACCCTTCAGCGCTGCATGCCTGCAAAGACCAAGGGCTTATCTAGGGCTTGAACTGACGCGAACATATTCAGGATTACAAGGCTGAAGGCTGCTCAACCTTAGCATGTGCCTACAGTACCACAAGAAGCAAGAATGATTATTGCCTAGGTCGGCCCTTTCAAGCCTTCGAAGAATTCTCGCAAATAAGATCCTCTTAGGTCCAAGAAGGGAAACACATCAAATGTCTCAAAGGCCTACCTAGATATAAGTCCGGCAAGAGGCTGCAAACTTCTGGATACTGGGATGTCGGAACGGGCTTCCGGGTGCTAGCTTGGCCAGACATTCGGTCCGAACTGGGAGCTTGATTATGCTTGACTAAAGCCTTTCCCAAAGGGTCCTATGTACTGTTATGGGGAATACTTCCCCAACTCATAATAGTAATTCCTAATATAGAAACCCTATGTTCTACTATATCGGTACTTTGGACCCTTTGGGTTTGGGTCTCAAATACAGTGCTCAGAAAAGTTTTTTGGACACCCAAAGCTCTACGTCTGAGGGGTCTGGATCCTTCGGATGTGTAGTAGCTTTCCATTCCGTTCGGACCCCAATGTCGGAAAACGTTTCAAAAGTAGCATATTGCTTTGGAGAGGTAGAGATTCTAGCTGATTGTGATTAAGGGTTTAGGACTTTACGGCTTTTAGGCTCGCAGGTAATATTTTCGAGCAGTTGGCTCTAGTTTGAATTCCTTCTTCAAAGAGACTTTAATCTGCGACGAATAGGCGCTGCTGTCTTTTAGCTCCTCCACGAAAGGCAGAAGGATAGTCACCAATAGTGCACACTCAATACTAAGTACCAAAGAAACCCCGACTCGGAACCGTAAACCACAAGCCCTCAAAACCCTCACACATATTCCTAGAGACTCTTGACCCTAGTCCCCGCACCCGTAACTCTGCGCTGAATCAGCTCAAGTGGCAGGCTGATGTTAAAACCTGCTTCATCCACCGATGCCACTTCACTCACATGGTCGTCGTGGTGAAGCATCCACACCTTGATTTCGAGTCTTTGCGGTAATCCCAACACCAACAAAAACATCCATCGCCCCAGGCCCCGATCAGCGCCATAACGGAAGTTTACATACAACAGAACTGTGCTGTTGCGCAGAGCCCTCGAAGGGTGCAAGTATTATTATGGTATAGACTTAGACCCCCAAAATACCCTAGAAGTATATACTATTATAGTGATATATACTTAGACCCCCCCAAATAACCTATAAGTATATACTATAGCGAAACTTGGACCCTTTGGGGCGTACATCGACCATCCTCGATGCATCGCTTGCACGTCTTACAGTAGAAGCCAGAAAGTTGGAACATCATCCCCTAGGGGTCAAAACAGTCCAAAAGTCTTACATAGTATGGTCTTTGAGCCCAAAAGCCTTAATATATGAGTCCTTGGATCCCTAGGGAGCAAAGTATAGGAGATCACAGCACCCATCGTCCTAAATCCATGTTCCAACTTTCTGGGGTTCACTGTCCGAAAGGGTCCGAAGTACCGATATAGTAGAATGTAGGGTTTCTATATTAGGAACTACTATTATGAGTTGGGGAAGTATTCCCCATAACAGTACATAGGACCGTTTGGGTGTAGTCTTGACGCCCTCAGGAGTTCCGGTACGGGCGCTAGGATTGCGGGCTTCGAAGAGAGATCTGATAAACGAGACTCTCCCATTATAGTCCCTGTGCAGTCACAGTATAACATGCCCTGTTCAACAACATACATGGGCCTGAGATGAGGTATTGGCGCATAATTGCAGCACAGCTATAAACTTCAACTAGCTATTTCAGGCTTCTATGTGATCGAGGCCCCTATGTTAGAACTTCAGGAATAAGAACCTCCAATCTGTCAAGCTCGCAGGCAAGGTGCCATGAAATATCGCACCCAGGGCGCTCCAGCAAAGAGCCGCCACCAGGATTGGATTCCTAGGCTTACCTATAGTCTCCGTTGTAGTTCCTTTTTCTGGTTAACCAGTTTTATGGTTAGGAACCTATAATACAGATTTTGGATAACCAAACAAAGGAACTACAATGGAGACTATAGGTAGGCTCTAGTTCAATACGGGTTTAACGTTGTTTAGGATCTAGGGTTGCGGGGTTTTGGATCTACGATTATGAGGTTTAGTAATTTAGGTCTAGGATTTGGGGTTTGAGTTCTGTGTTAGGAAGGAAGGACTGCATAAGTTAGGCCACCCGGGGCCCGCAACAAATACAAGCATCAACCCAAAACCTTAAGACTTAATACCTAATACGGCAAAAGTACAAGCGCTGACTAATGTTGACCAAGACTCGGGTCAGCTTCCTGAGCCCTTCCATAACATAGCATCCTCTCACCTGTTGATCAATTAATGTATACCGGTGCGGCTTTCTACCTGATTTAAGTGCCACCTGTGTACAAATCTAACAATCGCTGTAAACTTCTTACAAAAAATCACGATGACTACTTGCGAATGCCGTTTGTTGATATTCCATCAACCCACGCCGAAAGGGTGCTTGCACCGTCCCGGCGGCGCTGCGTGCATCCGTTGAACACATGAACTCGATCACGGCAGGCCGGGCTTGACAGTCCTTTTTGCCAGCTAAAGGGAACTCCAGAAAGTTGGAATATGGTTTCAGGGTAGGATACCCTATAATTTACCATAAAGGGTTTAGGATAATCATATTCCAACTTTCTGGCTTTTACTTTAAGGCGGGGGATTGAGAGCTTCTCAAATCGCAGAGGTTGGGGTTCAGGGTTTAGCTTTCTAATTTACTTACCTTTGGTTAGTATAGGGAACGGAGGAATGGGGGTACAATTATAACTACTATTAATTACTACCATTCTTCCATACCCTACTAACCAAAGGTAAGTTTACAGGGGTTCAGGGTTGCGGCTTGAAGTATGAGCGGCAGGCAGGCGGCAAACCGGCAGGCACCATTTGATAGATTGAGTTAAGGTTCATATATCTATAAATATGTAAATGTATATGTTCATGTACACGTACATCCATATGTGTATGTATTTCTATATATATATATATATGTATATGTATGTTTGTATATATTACATAGGTAAGACTAACAACTAACAACCACAACCCTAACCCTACACTGCCCAAGACTCCGCGTTCTGCATCCAGAGGATGTTGGACATGCCAGAGCCGTGAGGACCGAAAGCCAAGAAAGCCGAACTGAAAAGTCGGTACCTTACTTGGAGGTTCATGGGCTTAAAGGGATCCTAAAAGGGATCTATAGGGGTTTCCTTAAGGGATCTATAGCTTAGGGTCTCAGGGGCTCCTTAAAGTGCGGACGATCCGGGCGAGGAGAGTGGAGAGACAAGCTTCGGGTTGCAGGGGTTCCTGGATTATCAGCTTTGGGGTTTTGGGGTGTATGGTTGCACGGATCGCACGATTTTCCACGCAAGCCGGGGCATCCGAAGCAATAAACCCGTCTTGGGATCCTGCAAAGGTTGGAACCCTGACGGACACAAAGAGATCCTAACATAAATCTAAATTGCAAGAACCTCCTAACAAAATGCCCCTTGCTGTTTGGAACCCCTGATACAGCCCCTACAAGCCCTTGTTATTCATTTCCAGACCATACAGAATATGTAGCCCTAGGTCTTACTGGTTCGTTCCTTCCGGTTTAGGGTGGGTTGGGATCGCAACTATCAGAGATTTCGGTGTTAGCTGGAACACTAGAACTCCCACCGCCTTGATGCACTGTAATACGCCCTAATTTTGGGGGCATTAAACCCTACGCCATGTAAACCCAATGATACACCCGACAACAAAGAAAGCCCAACCTACACCTTAAGCCCGAACCATATGGGTGGTTGCCAAAATTAGGGTCCCTTTTTTGGTCCTTATTATAATACGGCACCTTAAATTTAAGGTACCCAGAAAGGGACCCGAATTTTGACAACTACCCATATAAAGCCTAAAGCTTCATCCATCGATCGATCCAGTCACTGCTCTTCGAAGCCCAAGCTCTGCGAAGTTCCTGCCACCTTAGCCAAGTCAAACAGTCTTCAAGATCCGAGAGGCTAATTCGATCGGAGTGCTGGGAAAAGCGACATAGGAGACTTCAAACAGCCCTAAACCCTAAACCCTGAATAAATGCTGTCAGCTAAGTGGGTGGTTGTCAAAATTATGGTCCCTTTTTGGGTCCCTATTATAGTACGGCACCTTCTATTTAGGGTACCCAAGCAGGGACCCTAATTTTGACAACTTCCCAAGTGTCTCTTCCGTTGAAGACCACGATGTCGTCGGCAGGTCGCTGCAGCGCGCGCAAGGCTTCGGCAGTCAAGTCTAGTAAGCGTCCGAACTGATCCTTTGCAATAAGCCTGCCAGAATCGCTGCTTGGAGGCTCATGGGCAGTTATAATTAAGTGGTGTTACAAGTCCCCTAATATGGGTTATAACTATAGTTACCTTACTTATAACCCCACTTATAACTCCCCATGAAGCTCCAAGTGGTGTTTCAGCATTCGGGGCTTGAGGGCATGAGGGCACTGGGCTTCCTGCTTAGGTTATCATGAATCCGAGAGGATGTCTTTGAAGATGTAAATGTCCCAGGAAAAAGATCTACGCACTTAGGTTTCCTTTTGGGGAAGCCCCTAAACAACCCAGAGTAGGTTTTGGGACGTTGCTACTATTGGGGCGAGAATAGGGTTTTTGGGGCCCAGTATGATGTACTTACTATAAGGAACCCCCCCAAGATAGTATTGGCAATTCTTATTGTTAGGCCCCTATATCATGCGTGGTTCTAGGACGTATGGAGCCTTCCAGTCCTTGTGTCTCCGGGAAGCCGCTGGTAGGCAATGACCTTGTCGAGCGACCGGGACTTCGCGCGTAGCCTGTGAAACCTACCCTAAACCCTACACCCCTACAGTAAACCCCGAAAAGTTGGAAACCTGAGTAAGGCCAAATAGTGCTGGGATTCCCTATACATTACTCTTAAGGATTGAGGCTATTGGGTTTCCAACTTTTGGGCTTCTACTGTAAGCCATAAGCCCGAAACCCGTAAACCCTCACCCCCTTAACCCTAAACCCAGTTGTGTGTACCTGGGGCTCCAGAAACCTGAAGGTTTAAGGGTAAGATTATAGAACTAAGGGGTCAGAACCTACTATTTTGTAGGGTTTGGGGTACAGGTAGAGGCTCCAAGGAATGGATGGGGTACACATCTGTCAGCTTTTCCGGTACGAGGCATCTTTTTGGTCTTTCACCGGTGGGCTTATGCGTTGGGGATATACGGTGCAGACCCCGAAGCCACAAATCCTGAAGAAGCCGGAGCTGCAATGACCGTTTGCTGGGATGTCAAAAGCTGTTAAAGGACGCCCTAATCTGGACTATCAAGCGACACTCATGTTGACAAGCACTGTAAGCCCGTCTAAAGCAAACCCTATCAAATGAACAAATCTTGTAAACCCCAAACCCACATGCCTAAACCCCAAACCCTAGAATCTAAACCCAAAATCCAACACCCTAAACCAGAAAACCCAGCATATGTTCTAAACCCCAAACCCCAAATATTAAACCCTGCGCTGTAAAAACTTAAACCCTGAACAAGCTTCAGAACCTCCCGTCTCGCTCTCATGGCCAAGCAACGCCACCTGAGCCCGGAGGTTTCTATGAACCTCTGCGATCCTTCGGCGCTGCTGTGCTTTTTTTTTTCAGTGGGGGGGGGGGGGGGGGGGGGGGGAGGGCAGAGGCTGGAAATCAGGAATGCTTGAATATAGGGGGTTCAGGTTCGGGGTCGAGGATGCAGGGTTTCGGGTTCCAAGGTTTGGGGCTCAAGATTGAGGGTTCTGGACTCAGAGTTCAGGGTTGCTCCGGTTCGCGAAGCATTTTGTAGTAATTAAAGCTGTTGACACAGCGATGAGAGCATACCCACGTGCTCATTGGGTCCCACACATTATAAGTAAGCAAATATGTCATATCAGCTTGTCCAGGCTAGCGTACGGCTTCAACAACCCCAAAAGGCATGCCCGCAAACCTTACCCTAGGGATCAAAACAGCCGAAAAGCCTTATATAGCATGGTCTTGGGGCCCAAAGGCCTTCATATATGAGTCTTTAGATCCCTAGGGTTATACGCCAGTGCCTGGGAAGGCCCTAAACCGGTAACCACGAGGCTGGCCACCCCCCCCCATGGGACCCTGACACCTCAGCGCCAGTCCCCGTTAGATGCTAACCGTAATGGCCTGGCCGCAGTAAGCCCTACCTTGAACTACCAAAACCTACTATTTTGTAGGGCCCCTCTAAATTCCATATTAGGGCTTATAATAAGAGCCTACAATAAAGTAGGTTATGGTAGTTTAAGGTAAACCAAGCGATGAATCTTCAATGGAGTCTCGAAGGATCTCCAGTGAGGTTTTGATGGTTCCCAGGTGTAAAAGCTGGCCCCAGCGGGCTGAAAACCCGAAAGCCCAGCCGGGAGGAGGATTCTGATGAATCCGCAGGACCATTCTGATGAAGCTCCGAGACAATTTTGGTGAATCCCAAGACGCTTTTGAAGAATCGCCGGTGAAGCTCTGGGCCAATGGATGACGAATCTCGGTGTGATTTTGGTGCATCTCACCAAAGTCCGAAGACCCTTATCCATAAATATGGCAATTTTTCGAACCTCTGTACTACCCTAAGCCTCGAACCCGACAAAGCCCTAAACTCTAGCTAAGACCTACCTGACCTATCTGTAGGCTCCCGATAACCTACAGACCAACAGTTCGATGACTTCCCTTACATATTCATCCAAAGGTCGCTAGCTAGAAACGTGGCATAAAGGACGAAAAAGCCCTGCCAAAGCCAAGAAAACAAAAGGAACCGTGAAACCCTATGAACCTTATAATAATCTAAACCCTAAACCCTTAATCCTAAACACCTAAGTCCATAAGAAGACCGGGGAGTTTCCGAGCATAGGGGACCCTAATCTAGTACCCTTAAAATTAGGATCCGTAAAATGAGGACCCAATACAAGGTACCCCCAATTTTCGGAAACTCCCAAAACGGAACTACGATGGATCCCTTTAAAGAAACCCACCAGATCCCTTTAAAAGAACTCCTGAAGATCCCTATGGAGCCTATGGGTATGTTCGTAATTTCGTAATGATTCAGGCACCTACTTTAGGGAGCCTCTCTAGGTCGTAAAGGAACCTAAGGAATCCCCAGCTCTCTATGCTCGTTTTTTGGGGGACCCTTCTCCTCAACCCCCCGCCTAAAATGAAATTAAAGGGAGCCCTATACTAAACCCTATACCTAGATCCCTAAACCCTAAATCCTTGACCCCTAAACCCATAAGACTACCTCTCTAGGCCCATTTTTTTGGGGGTAGTATTATTAGGGGGACCCCTTAAAGGGTACCCCTTCTGAACCCTACTTCTGGCTCTCTTAAAAGGGGCCTTATTGAGAGGGTCTATATCCCCAAGGGTCCCCCTAATCCTAACTCCCGGGGGACCCCGCTCTCCTCAAGCTCTCGGGCCGATGGTTTCGAGGAGCTGGGTCCAGCACCACGAGGTCGCTCTCCTCGAAGAGTCGCTCTTTCTTTAATCAAAGGGGAAAAGGAGGGACCCTTAATGGGGATCCTTATCCTATAATGGGCCATATAATGGGTATATAATAGCTATATTAATTGGGTATATACCTAGGGGTCTTTAACTGATTATACAGGTTTAAGGGTTTGGGGCCTTAGGGATTTGGGGAGTTAGGGTTTAGGGATGTAGGGTTTAGGGTTTACGTCTTGTTGGTTCGGGTTTGTGTTCAGGGTTGAGGGTTTGGGGGGAGGGTTTAGGTTTGGGATTCGAGGTAGAGGGTACAGTAAACCCCGTAAAGTTGGAAACCTGATTAAGACCAAATAGTGCTGGGATTCCCTCTACATTACTCTTAAGGATTGAAGCTATGGGGTTTCCAACTTTTGGGCTTCGACTCTAGGGTCTTGGGGCTTAGGGTTTAGGGCTGAGGGGTTTAGGCTTTAGGGCTTAGGGCTCTTAACTTACCTTCGGTTGCTGGGGAATGGAAGAATGGTAGGAATAGTAGTTATAATTGTACCCCATTCCTTACTCACCAAAGGTAAGGTAAGGGAGCCTAGAGGTTGTTTTCTTGCTTTTGTTTTTAGGGTTTGGGGTTTTAGGTTCTTGGTTTTTTTAAGGGTCGTTTTTTTGAGCTCCCCTTTACATGTTTTACAGTCTGCCAACCAAGTTCGCACGATGTTTAGGGTTTAGGGTTTAAGGGCCTTTATGCAAAACACTTGAGGCATCGGGGCTTTAGACAGGGGTTTAAGGGGGTTTACAGAATCCTCTATGCAACACTTTAAGGGTTGGGGTCTACAGTAGGATTTAGGATTTCGGGGTGCAGGGCTCAGGCCTGTAATTGACTTTTGGAGCTGCTTTGGGGAAGGGCCTTGACGGCTTCTTGACCAGGATCGTGAAAACAGAGACTCAGACACATTTCTTGCGGCTGATCTACTTGAAAGGTCACGGGACTTGGTAGGCGCGCAATTAGTAAGATGATTACAACCCCCGACTTAGGCTGCTTACCACTCCACTGATAACCCACTTAGTAAGTGCCCTGCACATCCTTGCCAAAAACAGATGCTGGCTGCAGGCGAGCCTCTGCGCAGACGACAGTGTCGGTGGGCACATATATCATCCTCTCATGCAATTTGGCATCGAACCACTCCATGAAGCTTTCGATTCTCCCGTCAGTATCCTGCTCCACGACGATTTTCGTATCGTTCGACTCGAAATGGTTATAGATCCAGACAACAAGAGGAAGCAGATCAGCCATCACATGCCCATACTGAAAATAACGTGGAGCAAAAGCTCTGAACAGAACCACCGGCTCAAAGATCTTCAAGTCACACTTCGAGAACCTCGCGAGCATGTCCGGGAAAGGCGTGAAGAAGTGCTCATTCAACTCCTTGCTGGCAGTGTCGTTGCTGTACCTGGTAGGTTCTTGCAGGTCCCACAGAAGGTACAACTCCAATTCTTATTGATTTCCAAAAAATACCAAACGGCCCTAAACATCCATCTAACACCCCGTGTCTACAGAAAAACAAAACGTCACAAAATGCAGTATAGAAAGAGAACTCATACAGGTCGAAGGTACAAGTTTATGTGCCAAAGCAGCAAGTGGGGCCCCTTCGGGCTAGACGGAAACATGAATCCTGGGTCGCCGCTTAAAGATACAACAAATATTCTTAGATGAAACAGCCCTATAACCCTTAAACCTTTAAAGCCGTAGACCTTTACAGGAGGGGACGCCGTGGACGCCTTTTTGTTCTACACCCGTTATGCTCCAGGGACCCATAACAACAAACACATTAGTTTACAACTCCATTGTAAACGTGGGCCTTTAATGAGGCAAAACCATGAAACCACGGCAAACCCCCAAGCACAAATTGCCACAGCCTTCAAGTGTTGCAGCCCTAAAGCCACAACAGACTGCCAAAAAAGAACAAGAAAACAAAGAAAGAAAGAACGAAACAAACACACACACACACACACACGCCCTAAACCCTAAACCCTCAACCCCAAACTCAAAAACAAACAAACACACATCCCAGTGGCCTGCCTAGAGTCGACCTGTGCGGATCTTGCGAAACTCCAAAGTTTTTTCAAGAGGCTGCTTCGCGACCTCCAGCGTCCTATGGCTTGAAAGGAGGGGCTTACTGGGAGGTCCTCACTTATAATTACCCATGGACCTGCAAGTAGGGATCTAGGGTTTAGGGTCTTGATTCATCGGAAAGGGGTTCTGGGGTACATTCTACTGTAGTTGCAGGGGGGCCTTAAAACTCAACTGTAGTTATGCAGGCAGTGTAGGGTGTAGAAGTCCTGTCTAGGATTTAGAAGTGCTGTCTAGGAATTTTGAAGTTTTTGCTCTATAGTATAGGATCGGAAACCTCAAACCCAAAACTTCGCCAAGTCCTCTCAAAGACCGTGGACCAAACTTTGTGGTTGCAGTGCTTCAGGGCATACGCGCTCGGGATGAGCACTGCCTTTCCAGCCTGGACTGTAGGGGCCTTTATAACTAGAACAGGATTTGGGGTATATTATACTATAGATATAGCAAGGAACACCCCCAAAAACCCTATTCTAAGTGTTAAGGCCCCTACATTACGCTCGGGTTTGCCTCCGTAGGTCCATAAGCACACAGTTAAAGTACAAATGGTCACACCTAGAGGGCCTGAGGGCCCGAAATTATCCTATAACCCTTTTAATTACCCTCTTACTGTAGGGCCATGTAAAGTTTGAGGTCTAGTTTGGGGGATTGGGGTTTTGGGGGCTTAGGGTATAATATCCACACGCCAGAGTCACCGTCTCTGCGAACGAGCATTCCGTCGTACCGGTATCGGTCAGCGCAACTCTCAGCGGCAGCAGCCAGACCGCAAGACGGATAGCAAAGCCCATCCCCGTCGACAAAAGCTTGCTAGGAGTAACAGTCGTGACAAACATATAAGCATCAGTATACATAAATTATTACGATTATGGTTATTTATACATATATATATATATATGTATATCTAGGGTTCCGTCTTAAGGGTTTAGGGTTGAGGAATGTTTCGCGCTCTGGAGTTGCAGGGCTTTAGGGTGTTGTAGGGGCGTAGGGCTTTAAGCTCAAGGGCTGTTAGGGGGCTTAAGGCTTAACAGCCAGGGTTTAGGGTTAAGGCTACAACGCGGATTTCGTGGTTGCGTGAGGTAGGTACCGTCACAGCCTACTGCATTGAAATCTCCTTACAAGGAGAAAGTATTTACCAGTAGCAGCAACACTGCTAGGAACCATCATGGGCATCCTCGTAGCCAAAATTTCGGAATGAGGGTGTAGGGTTTACGATGAATATCATGACTGCTCGGCATGCATCAGCTTGAGACCAGAGGCAGGCGGGCAGCATGAACACACAGCATTGTGCGGCATCCAGTTACTTGCGACCTCAAAACTTAGAAGGACAAAAATACATCGCAATCATACACACACCCAAATGCTAGGCTATTACTGCTATCCGAAACCCAGGTACCTGAGCATTCCAGCTTCCAGCTACCCAAAAGCCACAGCCATATTATTTTTCGAGTCGTGGTCGCTTTTGCAAGAATTAGGCTTGGCGGCTCTCAAGCAAACGGCTCTGAAACGCAGGAAATGCTCCCATCCATTCAGCACAGCCCCGGCCTTAACCAGAAGCTCGTCTTTCACGCCAAACTGTTAGTACTACTTTCCTCCTATTATGATCGGTATTTAGCCGACCGCTCTATCTTTTCCCTGCTGCGGAGCCCCTGAGCCCCATGCGTCATCTCGTTCCTTGGTTCGGGCAGTATACCTCAAAACAAAATCCAACACAAAATGTCTAATTCTGAGAAAACCGTACATGATCCAAACCCGGGTCACCAGGTATTCAAAATGACACAAATATGTTAGGGCTTTCTCCCTAAACTAAACCCGCGCTGATTCTACTCTGTGGGTCTCTACGTCTCTCCCCCTCTCTGTCTCTCTGTGTATCTATGCAGATGCGTGCACACACACAGAGAATGGTCGTGGCAGTACCTTAAGTCACAGGCATAGCATACCAAAACGTTCAAGCCAAATCACGTGTAGAACAAGAGACTGTAGCTCCTCTTGCAATACATACATCCATGGGCTTCCGTGTGTGCAGCAGCCGTCGCCGTAGACGAGGAACTCGGGAGGTTTAACAAGGCAAGACAGGGGAAACGCGACAGAGGTCATATACCCCATGAACCCCAGGACGCTAAACCCCTAAACCCTAATTAGTCTCCTCACTTTTGAAGTTTTGCTTGCCCAAAATGTGTAACCATGTAGAGCCTCGCAACAAGTTGCACAGAATTGCTTGTGATATTGCCCTGCCGAAGAATGGTCAGACAGAACATGCATGCAGCACCAGCTACAATCAAGAAGTGCGCCACCATCGTGCAAGGAACACGAAGAAGCTTCAAATGTTCTGAAAAGGAAGCTAACTGCACACAACAATGACTATGATGACGATGATGACGATGATGATCAGCATCATCATGAAGGTGACGAGGGCCCCGTCTTGTGTTGGTGCTGCCAGTCAAGACGGCGAAGGCAGGATGGCAGACAAGTACGTCAGTAGTTGACAACTATAATGTGCAACGGAAACAATTCACTCCGACAGTAGCAGCAACACCACAAAGCAGCAGGCTGCAACACAAGTCCTCGCAAGCTTCGGGCTCGGGAACAAGAGAAACAGCACCCGCTTGAAGTCACGGGGACTAGGCCAACTAGGCAGGGAGTCCAGCACGATTCCCAAAATAAACCGCATTCGGGAGCCTGTGAAGGATTTCCAGAATACCAACCCCACTCCGAAGGACGCAATAGCAATGCACTACAGGGGGCGTAAATAATTACCATTACTATTTTTTGGGGGGTTCCTGATTATAAAATTCTAGTACAGCACACCCCCAATCCCTATTCTACTTATTAAGGCCCCTCCACATTTTATGGACCGGTGCCAAGGCTCATCACGCTGTCAGCGACTTGAGCCGCAAAGTCCGTGGGGGTCGTCGCCGTAGGCGCTGGCGTCACCCCTGCCTGGCATCCGATTCCCAGTCAAGATCGCTCCGCACGGCATGTAACAAGTGTAGCATCAAGCAGGAATATCAGCATGAACCAACGTCAAGAACAACGACCTCGGAGTGAGAGGACTACTGCGAACCAGAGAAGGTTTGGGTGCTAGGAACCAGGGAGATGCCATGCTGCCATACTATCACAGTTTATGATTGTGTTGTGGCATTAACAGCTTCTCATCATACCCTCTGCATGATACTGCCTCCATTACTACCATGGCTACTGACTACTGCGACCGCCTCTACTACCACAGTGACGGCGACTGCGACTACGACAACGAATGCTGCTACGGCTACTACTGCTACGAGGGTGGCGCTTATGCGTATGGTTACAACAGTCGCGAATACTACGTACTGCAACTGCTTCCGCAACTGCAACTGCTGCCACATCTGCCATCGGGGTATGTTACAGTCTGTTTACATATCCTTACTATATTATTCAAACCTCTACGTTGAATCCTAACCGTTCTAACCACTGCAGGTTGTCAGAGGTGCCGATGTTACTCGTGAGGGTCACCCCAAATCCCATTATAAGTACATATGAATACTCGGGCCCCTAAATTGGTTGGGGACAAAGGGGCCTTGGGAGAACAAAGCAGAAAAGGGAGGATCATTACCCGTTTTCCTATCCGCGATCAATAGTGTTTCGGGTTTCGGGCTTTGTGCCTGGGACAGCGCATCCGTGGTGATGCTTTCCAGGTCCATGGCGAACTTCATCTCGGTTGGTTGAGCGCTGGGGTGAGCGTCAGAATACGAGGGGTTTTGGGTTTCACAAAAGCAGCGAAGTGTTCAGGAGCAGAGGTCAATTGTCAAAGGTTCCGGCAGTTAGGTCTCCACGGGAAAAGGGCCCTCCCCAAACTCCCCAGACGGTTTAGGGTTTAGGGTTCAATGTTTTGGGTTCAGGGCTTAGGGTTCCGGGCTTAGGGCTTAAGGCCCCGAGCATGTCAAGGAGCTTGTTTCAGATGCATACGGAAAACGTATTCTGCTCCTCGGGGACTATAACTTGGACTCCGAACTGTGGAATCCCCATGGCACGGAAGAAGCATAAGACTACAGAAAAATGCAACAAGATCCAGGGAGCTGCTCAAAGGCGAACCCCTGAGCCAGCGACAATCCAACTCCGGAACCCGCAGACGCTGTTTGCGGACGCTGTTGATGCTGGTGATGCTGGTCCTAAGCTGCCCCCGTCACCGGCACCTTGAGTGGCAGTTGCAACTCCGATCTTCCCGTGATCAAAGGCCTGGGTGTGTTCGGCTCCGGGTCATGCTCCATATCCAACTCTTGTGGCAAGTAGGGCTCCACTGCTTCGACACTCCAAGCTCTCCAGAGGTGGAAAAGCTGGACCCAGGCCTCTCCAAAGCCTGTGCGGAGCATCTGGTCCGAGCGGTATCCACTTTTGCATTGCCCATATATGGACTCGAACAAGGCGAACCTTATTCGACGTTCCTCCAAAATGTTCAGGGAGCGCCGAGTGTCGCTCAGCAGGCGAGCGACGTGGACTTGGTTTCCCTGGCGTGCGTGTACGGCTGCCGGCCAGAGAGCTCCGGCACTTCGGTTTCCTGCCACTGCTCCCTCCGAGGAGTTGCGAAGCATCAACAATCTTGTGAAGCCACTTGAGCGCAAACATGGCAGTCTGCGTCTCAAACTCGGAATCCTGCGGATTCAGCCTGCAGTGACTCAGGCTACCACCAGGTCTATATCAAGGGGCTAATGCAGGGGCGGTAATAATTTGAATAGGGTTTTGGGGTATAGTATACTCCAACTAACAGAAGGAACCCACAACATGCCCCTGTAGTAAATAGCGGTCAGCCTAAGCCCAAAATGAACCGCGATGGAACCTGCTACCCACGGTTGGTGCAAGTGTAGGCTTCAGAATGGTCGGGAACACCAACACTTGGAAGTCGAAACGAAACAGTAATGATGACAACAGCAACAAGCGTACGACAGCTAATCAATCTGGCAGTGCAGCTATGCAATGTACATGCAGACTAGTAGCAATGCCACCAAAACGATCAAACCTTCTGCAAAAAAATGCCCCGATGTCTTCGAGCTTTTACTCTAAGCGGTGGAAGAGAATGCGTGGGGCCAGGCCCTGAAACCCTAAACCCTAATAACCCAGACCTTCCAAAATCCCTTAATTAAGGAATGTACCTTAAATCATATTGGGGATCCTATTATAATTTAAAGTATACTCCTTAATTAAGGGGGATTTTGGAAGGTCTGGGAACCCCACAGCAGCAACCCAAAGTCCTGCACTTTGAACCCCGGAGCTCTGCTCCTAAAGCACCTATCCCCTGTTCCCGCTCAACCCTGATCCCTCAAATCCTACCCGTCGCGTATCATGGGGCACTTTGGTTATATAGGGGTTATATAGGAACCATTATACTACCCAAAAAAGGTTAAAGGTTACCTACTCCAGTACTAGGAATTGACATGCGAAGTCAGCTTGCGAATCCGTGGGGCAGACATCCGAGATCCTGACAGTGACAAATCCCAGATCCGAGACCCTAAACCCTCAAACTGTCAAAGACCCCGTTTCCATAACGCACTCCACAAGACACCCTGATAGATCCTGCAAACGTTTCTTTCAAAACTCGGACACAAAACCCCGACAACAGATTCCACGACCGAAAACGCCCTAAACCACAAACCCTGTTTGGAGGTTCATACCGCACTTGTATCCCTACTTATAAACAACCATGAACCTCCCAGTACCGTAGGCCCTAAACCCAAAAGCAATTAAAGGGACCCTCGTTAAAGGAATCCTTATAACTCCCCAAACCCTACACTAAGCCACTTGCCGTCAGGCCCACGAA